CCATAACAGATAATTGCATTCAGTCATATAGCATTCACTGCCATAAATGATAACTGCATTCACTTTCATATAGAATAACTACTATTGATAATAGCAATTAAGCACTTGTTTCTTTGTTTTACAGTTGAATTGGCTTTTGACTTGTAAGTTCTTTGTTAACAGTTTCTTTTCTCACACTTCTTGCTTTTCCACATTATATCATGGATTAAAAAAATAAGAAATGATAGATGATTTTTCTTAAAATATTCAACAATATATATTAAATCATTTTGGATATCTCTTAAGGGTGAATTTCCAAATATTACAAAAAAGCAATAGAACACTTTCTTCCATTCTCAACATCATATGTATGCAAAAGTAGCTTTTCTGCAATAAAAAAATATTAAAATAATAAAATCCATCACTGCTAGAATCCTTCAAAGAATATTTAAGAATATGCCTGTCCAATATTCAACCTTTCAAAATAGATAATCTTAAAAAAATATCAAGCTTATATATCTTATTAAATGTTAAATTATAATACAAGAAAATATTTAATATATAATATTAAATATAAATTTTTAAGCATTTTAATTTGTAAAGTTTTATTACAAATTATAATAAATTGTTTGTTTCTGTTAATAAATAAATCATAAAAAGAATACACTTTTTTAAGTCTTTTTTTTTGATCTTCGTAATTTAAGTGTGCTGCAGAAGTTGAACGACAGGTTCAAGTGTGCTGTGAGTTAAGAAATGAATGATAATGATTGTTTTCAAATGATAAAGAATTTTATGAAAATACTAGAAAGATGAATACCTGTCTATATCCCTGAGATGAGGTATTATGATTACTTACATTATTTGGACAGTTATCCTCATCTTCATTGCCATATTCACAACATTTTAGCTGTTGTATGCTCTGCCCTTCTTCATGTGATTGGAATTTTGAACCAAACCCTTTATTTTGTCCACCGTGGGTAGATTGTTTTAGTTCCACGTGCCATGCCTCTTCCAGATGTCTCAGTTATTTCCCTTTAACTCAGCTAACTGCTAAAATATAAAACATATCCTTTTATTAAGAAAGAAAAAAATGCCTCTATTTATATATATTAAACTGGAATATAAGTAATGTCCTGATTACTAAACATACCTAGCAGTTAAGGTGACCAGATATTCACAGGTATATTATTAGGTCGAGTCAATAGTAATTTCTGACCAATTGTATTGACGAATGTATTGTTACTAATAAACATATGGTAGTTAGATAATCACGAAAGCATATTATTAGGTTTAGGAATTAGTAATGTCCGTTTTTGATAAACAATTGTATTCATGAATTTATCACTCTAACTGATAAGCATATGACAGTTTAGACTACCAGATAATCATAAAAGTTTATTATTGTAACCGTTAATAAACAGATGAAAGTGATTGGAATGAACAATCATTTGGACAATTTCTTCATATACTAACTATACTTCATTTTCTAAGTGTAGCTTCTATGTGCCACAAGGCCGAAAGTGTGAGGCACCCAGTGAGGATCAAACTCACTATTCCATTGTAATAGCTTCATCTACTGCAAGGAAAGTTGGTTCTCTGTGTCATGCCAGAATATTATTCTTGACTGAGCCCATCCTTCAAATCTGCAAATCAACCATTCGCCCTTGCATTGAATACTGTTGACGTATATGGTCTGGTGGTCCAGCTATTTACTGCAAGGTTCTCGACTAAATCCAAAGATTGATATGGAATGTGATAAGTCCTGATCTGTCATCTTATCTACATTCACTTTCTCACAGATGTACTGTGACTTCCCTCTGTCTTTTCTGCAAATATTTTTATGGCAACTCCTCTGACGAGCTACTTTCACTGGTTCCCCAACTGCATGAATTTAAGCATGCTACTAGATTGGCATCTTGGTCCCACCTTTTTACTATTGAAACATTTAAATGTAACCGCCTCTTATACTCCAATTCTTTTTTCTCTCACACTTCCTGACAGTGGAATTCCCTTCCTCTTATTTCTCTGTTAACTTTAATCTTTAAATATTCAAATCTAATGTCACGTGACATCTTCTGATGCCTTGATCCTGATTCCCATCCTTCTCTATATTCTTCCCCCAAACACTCCTCTTTTCTCTTGTTCTCACTCTCTATAACCCCTTGCATGCGAGTGGCACTCCTCCCTTGTTTGGGGTGAAATGCTTAAAAAAAAATTGATCTAGCAAAACAAGCTTACTAACCATTACACCATGTTGAAATGCCCGTAAATGATTTTCTAAGTGTAGCTTAGATGTAGCACAAGGCCAAAAGTATGAGGCACCCAGTGAGAATTGAACTCACTATTCAGTGGTAACTGTTCTAGTGAGACAAGCTTGTTAACTATTACACCATGTTGAAGTGCTCATTTCTACATGAACTATGTTCCAGAAAGAAATCCCTTGCTTTGCACGCAAATGAAATACAATAAGAAAAGAACGTAACAGAAGATTCTTGGCAGTCATTTCCAATGAAACATGTATAAGAGTAGGGTTGCTGCCCCAATAAACAGCTGTTAGGTTGATTCATTAGTAATTTCCATTTTCAGGAACCAATTACAATGACGAATGTATCATCATAGCTAATAATCATATGTGGCAGCTAAGAATAAATCTGGAGTACTTTAAAATATGTAAGTTTTTGCACAGATGAGGACAACATCCACTTGATTAAAGGAACATTTTTGTTATCTTCCTTGACAACACAAGCCTGCAAGAATATTATAGGAAAAAACATTTGGGGACTTGTTTAGGCTGTTCTATCCGCACCAGTCAGGTTTGATAAGTTCAAATTGGCAGCTGATCTAAAAAGATGATCTACTTTCAGTTGCTAACTAGTGCTAGGAATGGCTTGTTAATTTTAATGCCTCCAAAACATAACTGCTGTTTTAATCACTATGGTTGATGCTAACCTCCAAGGCATTGATACATTGCACCTTCTTCAACTAATATTTTTTGCTGATATGAAATGGAATGATTATATCGAATCAATTGCTATGCCAATGCTAAGAAAGTTGGTTCCTTTTGTCATGCTAGAGAATTTTTCTCAGCAGAATCATTCTTACATATTTATCAGTCTAACATTTATTCTTTCTTTGAATACTGTTGCCATATTTGGTCTGGTGCTCCTGATATATATTTAGAGATCCTTGATAAAATCGAAAGAAGAATCTGCAAAGTTTGGTCTCAGCTTCAGTCCCTTTCTCACTGCCATAATGTAGCATCCCTCTATCTTTTCATGCTTATTGTCTCAATGAAATTTTCTCTATGGTACCAAGGTTTTATGAATTTGAGTGCAGTACTTGTTTGGCAGCAAGGTCCCATCATTTTATAGTTGAAATGGCTAGATGCAACCATGCAGTCTATGCTGTTTTTTCTCTTGCACTTCTCACTTGTTGAACTATTTTCTGGCTTCTTGCTTCCCAGTCAACTTTGATCTTCAAAAATTTATATGCAATGTAAATTATTATCTTTTGTCTTCTTAATTCTTGTTCTTTTAATGTTCTCTTTCCTTAATAGCATTTTTTCTCATATTCTCTAACACTCAGTAACCCCTTGTATCTTAGTGGCTTTATTGCCTTGCTTGGTGTAAAATAATTAAAAAATCTGATTATTACCATTTTTGATAACTGGAAAACCTCTAAGCCTAAAGAAAGAATATCGTCTGGTTCACACTCCTCCTGGTCTTTTGAACAGGAGTACAGATTTATCTATTGTTTTCTGTTTATGATTGGGTTTCCAGTTCCTTCTAAAGATTTCTCATTATATTTGATACTCTGTAGCTTCTTGCCTCTGAGTGGCAATATCGATTTGCTTGGGGTGAATTGATTAAAAAAAAAATTTCAAGGCTTTATCGAAAACTGCTTTGCTTCAAAATTTTGAGAAATTTTACCCCAAAGCTCTCACATATGGCTGCTAATAATAAGTCAAAGCAAATAATATATAAATGAATAATGGAAGTTATTTATGACTCAAACTAATAAATACAAACCTTTTCATATCCTGGTAAATTTCTTTAGTGTTGATCCTTGCCTTAGAAACTTGATTCAACACAAATAATCAATGCATTGCCAAAGTGTGATGATAACATTGACACAGAGCATATATATATATATATATATATATATATATATATATATATATATATTTATGTATATATATACAAAAAAGATCTTTATATTGAACAAAGAAAGGTCTATTAGTTTTGATTAAACATTTTTCATCGTAGATCTCATTTTTACTGAAAGGATTCACTTGAATGATTTTTTACTGGTTTGGAAGCAAGTTTTTTTTTTATATTCATGAATAACCACGTCAATATGGAAAAAAAAAAACAGCAAGAGAAAAAAATTACAAGAATTCTCCTATCATGAAAAGGGATAATAATATAATTTAATCCATTTTGAGTGTCGAATAAGCACAGCCGAAGCAACAGGACTGAAATATTGCGTCTTGCCCCCATGAGATGACATTAAATGTGAAGAATATTTTTTTTTTAAAAATGGAATGAATAAAAAACAGTGAAGAAAAAAAAGGTAACTTTCTTTTTAATGTCATAAAAGGTGTTGTTTGAAACAAAATACTTTATCAAACGAAAAAAAAGATGAGATGAAGCAGCATTAAGAAAAATGGAAAACAAAGAAACACCTCTGAGGGCGAGTTTGCCTTCTTTTAAACATTAAAGAAATAAGAAAAGTGATGTGGAAATGTCACCACAGTTAGTATTGTGTGCATCGCAGTATGCTGCCTTCTCTGCAGATATGGTATACTGTCGAGGAATATTAATTTCAATTGAAGAATTCTTCGATGTTTGGCAAGAGAAAACTTTTTGAAGCTTTTAAAGAAGGAGCCCCTTTTGTTCTGTCCATATTTTACTCTTCCCCTCCGTTTGATAAAAAAAAAAACAGCCTAACAAATGACTCTAGGTCTTTTAGAGAGCATCAATTTACAACAGAATATAAACATGAAAGCACTACTATCTCAGTCTGTTCATATCTATCTATCTATCTATCTATCTATCTATCTATCTATCTATCTATCTATCTCAGTCTGTTCATATCTATTTATCTCATTCTGTTTCTATCTATCTATCTATTTATCTATCTATCTCAGTCTGTTCATATCTATCTATCTATCTATCTATCTATCTATCTCAGTTTGTTCATATCTATTTATCTCAGTCTGTTTCTATCTATCTATTTGTCTCAGCCTGTTCATATCTATCTCAGTCTGTTCATTATCTATCTATCTATCTATCTATCTATCTATCTATCTATCTATCTATCTATCTATCTATCCTCAGTCTGTTCATATCTATTTGTCTCAGTCTGTTCATATCTATCTCAGTCTGTATATTATCTATCTATCTATCTATCTATCTATCTATCTATCTATCTATCTATCTCAGTCTGTTCATATCTATCTCAGTCTGTTCGTATCTATCTATCTATCTATCTATCTATCTATCTATCTATCTATCTATCTATCTCAGTCTGTTCATATCTATTTATCTCAGTCTGTTTCTATCTATCTATTTGTCTCAGTCTGTTCATATCTATCTCAGTCTGTTCATTATCTATCTATCTATCTATCTATCTATCTATCTATCTATCTATCTATCTATCTATCTCAGTCTGTTCATATCTATTTGTCTCAGTCTGTTCATATCTATCTCAGTCTGTATATTATCTATCTATCTATCTATCTATCTATCTATCTATCTATCTATCTATCTATCTCAGTCTGTTCATATCTATCTCAGTCTGTTCGTATCTATCTATCTATCTATCTATCTATCTATCTATCTATCTATCTATCTATCTATCTATCTCAGTCTGTTCATATCTATTTATCTCAGTCTGTTTCTATCTATCTATTTGTCTCAGTCTGTTCATATCTATCTCAGTCTGTTCATTATCTATCTATCTATCTATCTATCTATCTATCTATCTATCTATCTATCTATCTATTTCTTTCTTTTTTTTTTTCTTTCTTTGATCTGCTGTTGGAGTACTGGATAACATTTCCGAATTGGATATCGCTGAGCTGAGTTCCAATTCCAGTCAGGTGTGTTATATTCACTTATGTGCAAATACCCTTGGGAAATGTATGAATCCACTTATTCTCCTCCTAACTATGGATTAATTAATAAAACTTGTATCAGAAAATCCTAATTATCACCAAAAAATTCTTACAATCTAAAAATATTTTCTGCCTTTAAAATAACCTGAAAAAGGTTGATAAGCTGTAAAATGAATCAATCTATCAATGAAAAAAAAGTTTCAAGCATATTAAAACAATCTTAGAATTGTTGGTATTAATTATAAAAGTTGATAAAGGTCAAGAACTGACCGATATATATAGGAAAATGGTAAAAGAATGTCATTTGAGTGTTGATCGTACTGTCTTGGAATAGGCGTTTACAAAGCCAAACCTGACCTCAATCTCTGATAACTTTCAGCCTGGGATTATAGATATATTAACTTTTATTGAAGCTTTGTCAGAGACTGCGATATGATAAGAAAGAAGAAAGAAATTCTTTTATACACATGAGTGACCAATGAAAATTGAAAGAACACAAAAGTAAAACTACGAGAATTTTCTTTCTTCTCTTTCTCCATATCTCATTCTCTGATGAAGTTTGAATAAAATTGAAACATGTTAGATTGATAAATTTTTCCTATTTGTTCTTTATATATAAATATATATATATATATATATATATATATATATATATATATATATATATATATAGATAGATAGATAGATAAAAATAGATATATGAGTGGACACTGAGGTCAACACAAAGTAGAGAGAGTATTTCAGGTTTAATCTCAATTTTCAGGCCTGAAGATTGCATTCAACCATAAAATCTATGTATCTGATCGATGTATCCACACACGCTCTATCCCAGATATTAAGCACTTGTATCCCATTAATAAAGCATACTTAAAACTATATATATATATATATATATATATATATATATATATATATATATGTTTTTCATTAAAATGACAGACAATGTACTACGGTTAAGCTTTTTATTTAATTTTTCTTGTGTTCGAACAATATCTGTATGTGCATTCTGTGTATGTCTTAGTGTGTGGTAGGGATGTTTTTAATTTCCGAATACGATTAACACATTGTGGAATTGTTCGTAGTTAATATTGTTAAGAGTTGGCTTTTTCTTTTTTTATTATTAAAGCTTCCATTATTTTTAGTCTTTTTTTGCAGGTGGATGCAGTTAATATATTTGTGTTTTCTACTAGTATGTTTCTAATGGAGTCTGGTAAATTTGTGCGTGTGTTTAAATGGGTTCTAATAGAGCTGTGATCAGATAGGTGTAACGTAAGACGTCTGGATAAGCATGTGGTTGTGTAACCGATGTAATTATTTATGAGTCCGGTCTGATCAGGAACACAGTTCCTTAAGGGGCATTTGAACTCATAGATAATGTTCGTTCTTTGTAATTTTGACTTAGCTGGTGTGTTGTTATCTTTGAGGATAAGGTTAGCTGTCTTAAATTTTTTATAATAGATAATTAATTTGATTTTTTTTTCATTCAGATCAATTGGAGTAGTATATTTCTTTATAATATGCCTTAGAAAAGATTTGTCTTGTTTGTAATTAATATGCATTTGTTTTTTGTAATAAAGGTGTATGTAATTTTTGGCTGTGTGTTAACTATCGTTATTACTTGCTTTGGAGAGAAATAGTCTAAGTTGGTGGTCTATAAAAAAGATTAAAAATAATGGAAGCTTTAATAATAAAAAAATAAGCCAACTCTTAACAATATTAACTACGAACAAAGCCACAATGTGCTAACCATATTCGGAAATTAAAAACATCCCTACCACACACTAAGACATACACAGAACACACACACTCAATTAAGCTGAAAAATCGAATCATCCTTGATAATGGCTAAAGGCATCACCGAAAGCACTCAGATATATAAAACATTTGGACAGTTCTTACACACTCTTTTTCTAGAAAAGAAAGCTCTTCTTCGAACACAAGAAAAATTAACTAAAAAGCTTAGCTGTAGTACCTTGTCTGTCGTTTTTAATGAAACATGCATAAAGGAAGGATTGCTGCCTAAATATACAACTATATATATATATATATATATATATATATATATATGTGTGTGCAATTGTATGCAATTGTATGGATAGTAGTTTGTAACGCCAGGTTTCACATGCGAAAGCGTGAAACCCCCAGGTTATAAATTACTATGCATGCAACCTTATATATTAGCTTTATCACGGATGTTGAATGCAGGAATTAGGTTTTAATTCCTGTAATTTGCATAAACAATTCTTAAAAACAAATGTAGCAACGTCTGAAAGTCCTTGGAAAAGAATAATATGAAATAAAAGTGAATAAAAATTTCGTCAAATTTACCGAAAACTCAAAGCAATTTACTCGAGAATTTGAAAAATTTAATAAAAAAATTGAGAGAAAAACTTGTCTATATTATTTAACAATATATATATATATATATATATATATATATATATATATATATATATATATATATATATATATATATGTGTGTGTGTGTCTCTCTCTCCTCTGTGTGTGTGTGTGTGTGCTAGGCAAAGCCATTAAACGATGTGCATAGTTATATAACAAACAAACACTTTCTGGCCTTTGGTCATCGAAATTGATAAGATGATTTATTGTCCCTCTTATCTGAAAAAAAATTACAACGCCTTTTTCTTGTACACTTTTCTCTTTCATTCTGATCTGAAGAACATGAATCCATAACATGTCAGGCCAGTGAAAGGTGTTGTTTCATAGCTGTTCCACTTCATCTCATCACTTTTCTCATCGGATACTATACATCCTACAAACACATCTATCTATCTATCTATCTATCTATCTATCTATCTATCTATCTATCTATCTATCTATCTCAGTTTACATCTATCTATCTATCTATCTATCTATCTATCTATCTATCTATCTATCTCAGTTTACAAGTATCTATCTATCTATCTATCTATCTATCTATCTTAGTTTACAAGTATCTATCTATCTATCTCAGTTTACAAGTATCTATCTATCTATCTATCTATCTATCTATCTCAGTTTACATCTATCTATCTATCTATCTATCTCAGTTTACAAGTATCTATCTATCTATCTATCTAAGTTTACAAGTATCTATCTATCTATCTATCTATCTATCTATCTATCTATCTATCTCAGTTTACGTGCATCTATCTCTCTATCTATCTATCTTAGTTTACGTGCATCTATCTAGTTATCTATCTCAGTCTACGTGCATCTATCTATTATCTATCTCCATCTATCTCTATTCATCTATCTATCTATCTCTCAGTTTACGTGCATCTATCTCTCTATCTATCTATCTTAGTTTACGTGCATCTATCTAGTTATCTATCTCAGTCTACGTGCATCTATCTATCTATCTATCTATCTATCTATCTATCTATCTATCTATCTATCTATCTATCTATGAAAATCATTGCAATTCATTGATAATTGACTCTGTTCTGGTCTTTATTTTTGGTTTGCAAAGAAACTGAAAGCTAAAATGTGTATAATATATCGGATTTTCGAACGGACAGAATGAACATTATCCCAGTTCATGTGTCACTTCAGTTGTATAATGCTGCATTTTATCGATGTCAGTTTTTGAGTAAGGTGGTTTTCGATTTACGTCCAGAACTCAATGAGGCAGGAGGCATTAAGGATACTTGACTCAAAATCCAGCAATGTATGGTGAATCGAATACACACGCTTCATAAAGCCTCTGCAGGAAATACCTCAATTATGTTGAGAATATTTAAATCTTACGCAGAGTTTCTTTCTTGTGCTCTGACCATATATTTTTGTATAAAGATCTTTATTATGGACAAGTGGTAACAGCTGAAGATAACGTAAGGTGATACCTTATGCCATGGTTTTCCTTTACAAAAGTCAAAGAGTGTTTACTCTTTATCGAAACCATTTAGGAAAAGAAGTTTATCACCCGTTTACTATGGTGATATTCAAAGCACATCTTAGATGTGGCACAAGGCCGAAATTTTGGGTCACTCAGTGAGGATCAAAATCACTCCTCAGTTGTAATGATTCTAACGAGATAAGCTTACTAACCATTACACCATGTCAACGTGTTCAAATGATTTTCTAAACGTAGCTTAAATGTGGCACAAGGCCGAAAGTGAAGTGCCCCCAGTGAGGATCGAACTCATTCCTCAGTTGTAATGATTCTAACGAGATAAGCTTACTAACCATTACACCCTATCGAGGTGTTCAAATGATTTTCTAAACGTAGCTTAAATGTGGCACAAGGCCGAAAGTGAAGTGCCCCCAGTGAGGATCGAACTCATTCCTCAGTTGTAATGATTCTAACGAGATAAGCTTACTAACCATTACACACTATCGAGGTGTTCAAATGATTTTCTAAGCATAGCTTAAATGTGGCACAAGGCCGAAAGTGAAGAGCCCCCAGTGAGGATCGAACTCATTCCTCAGTAGTAATTGATCTTGTGAGGAAAGCATGCTAACTATAACACCACGTCAAAGTGCCGAGACACCCACTTACTATGTAAAAAAAATATGAATTTGTTAATCATCCCCAAAGCCAGTAGGTAATTTCATTAGAACGCATGGGGTTACAGGAAATGAAAGTGAAAGAGACTGAAAAGATTGAGAATGGGGTGGAGGAGAATTGAGAAATGTACAAAAAAGGAACAGAATTAATGAAGACAGAAGATGGCGATTGATGTTGCATTTAAATTTTTGATGATTGTAGTTTTCAGGGAAGCAAGAAATTGGAATGGAGTTCCACAGATGAGAAACACGTAAAAAGAAACTGCTAGTGTAGAAGTGGTGGTTGCATCTAGTTATGAAATGGTGGAACCTAGTAGCCAATCTAGTAGCACGCTTGAAATTCATATAGTCAGGGCACCAGTAATAAAAGCTCAGAACAACTCCCCTGAAAATATTTGTAGAAAAGAGAGAGAGAAGCCACGTCATGTTGGTGAGAAAGTGACTGAAGTCAATATGCCTGGTCGGGATTGATTACTTTATAGATCCTTTTTTGGATTTTGTTAACAATCTCAAGATGTACAGTAAGAACACCAGACTAGATATAGCAACAGTATTCAATGCATGGACAAATGGTAAATTTATAAATGTACAAGATGGATTCTGGAGATAACATTTTTTGATATGATACAGTGAACCAACTTTCCTTGCAGTAACTGACTCGATATAGTCGCCAGACTTCATGTCAGTGCAAAGCATGAGACCAAGAAGGCGTAGAGTGTCAACCCCCTCCCGCCCCGGAGTTTAACTTCAGCTACACTGATGGTAGGCAGAAAAGATTTTCTGTGCTGATTAAATGATAACAGTTTTGTTTTGAAGGCATTAACATTTACAAGCCATTTCTTGCCCCAGTTAACCACAGATTTCTGATCCTTTTCAAGAGCACTTAACAGGTTAACTTAGTCAGATCTGTCGGATTTGCTTCTAAGACAGGAGTAAATCGTTTTGTCATACAGCACAGTCCAACAACTATTAAACAAATTGCTAATAATATTGACTAAGGTATTACCTTTGAAGTTTCATAGATGTACAAGTGAGACCATTAATATGCTGATTGTCATTACAGAAAAAGACGCATAATTGACGCAATGGTGAATTTTATTGAAAACTGGTCAGTCAATCGTACTAGCTGAAATAAACAAAGAAATTTGAAAGATATTAATTTTTCATTGTTGGTTCTTCTTCTTCTTCTTCTTCTTCTTCTTCTTCTTCAGGATGTTAGCGGTCATGGCTCTTTACAACTTCTTGTTCTTTTAGCTCTTAATAAATGTTATCTTTTTGTTATCTTTCCTAAACGTTGTCTCGGCATCCATTTACTCAAGCTCATTAGGTAGTTTACATTATTTACATTATTATTATTTATATTATGACTATTATCCTCATTTTCCGTTGCCATATTCGCAACGTTTCGGCCGTTGTATGCTCCGGCCTTCTTCAGGTGATTGGAATTTCGAACTGAACCCTTTATTTCGTCCAAAGAGTTGTGAGTTCAGTACCAGGCCACAGCAGTGGTGAAGCAAACTTGGAGAGTTGAGTTAAAGGGAAATAACTGAGACATCCAGAAGAGACATGGCACGTGGAACTAGAACAATCTACCCCCTGTGGAAGAAATAAAGGTTCGGTTCGAAATTCCAATCACCTGAAGAAGGTCGGAGTGTACAAAGGCCGAAACGGTGTAAATATGGCAATGGAAATGAGGATAACACTCCGAATAATGTAAATACTTTAAGTAATCATAATACCTCATCTTAGAGATATAGACAAACTACTTAGGTAGGTTATGCGTTATTTTCCTCTGTCCTTTTTGCCTTCAGTATGTCCTGGAAGTATCAAATTTTCCAAACCCTCTTTCATCATTATGTTTAATAGGAGTAGAAACCAGTTCAACCTCCTCCCCCTGTCTTCTGAACAGGAGTAGATGTTTATCCCTTGATTACGGTTTAGGATTGGGTTTCCGGTTACTTTTAATATCGTTTCATTCTCTTTCACTCCCAGCAGCCCTTTGTACCTTAGTAGCAATATCGCCTTGTATGGGGTGAATTGATTAAAAAAAAAAGGGTCATTAGAAATTTCAACTGTCTCTCTCTGATGTTAACTATAAATAACTTTTTGTTGCCATTGTCTCTAGAACTTCCTAGTTGTTCACATGTTCGGTCCATGGTATTCACAGCATCCTTTTTAGGACATTTAGTTTTAACTGTTTCCTTCTTGCCAGGACACAAATCCCATGAACCAGATGAAGGACAGATTTTCAAGTCTTGATTCCAAAAAGGTATATGTCTGTGTAGAGCAAGTGTGTCTCGAATTAAAGGGGTTTCAGACACACGGAGAGACAGAATTTTCAGTGTATTTATTTAGATAGATGATCTAACAGATGATCTAAAAATATTATTCAATGAATAGTCTCATTTGTAATCTTTTACAATATTTTGTTAAACAGGTTTTACTTATCGAATGCAGTAAAAAAAATTGCATATTTTGCTTGTGGTGATTCATAATTAAAATTCTGGTTTGAATATATTTTCCATTCAATGTATCTAATAAAAAATATATCAACTTTATTTGGATTTATTCTTGAAATAGTAAAGTTTTGAAATCAGTTTGTAAGCAAAAACCCGAGGAAATTAGGTATTTCTGTACATTTTTCAGATAATCTTTAAAACTTAATGCTCAAAAATTGATAAAAGCTATCAATCTAATTTTTGGTCCTAGTAGTTATCACATCGACCTTCAGCTTTTGTATTGCAATGTTAATTTCCTAAAGAAACTGAAAAATCAACCCGCCCTAATGAGTATTGGGTGATATTTAGTATAAACATTATTTCAGAATATGGCTGTTTGAACAGCCATAAAATATTTTAAAATCCAAAAAAGAATCAACAATATTATTGGTCCTGATCAGGTGTCTCAGCTTCAGTCATTTTTTTTAACCGTCGTAAAATGGCCTCCTTGTGTATTTTCTATAAACTAGAATTTTTTTTTGCAACACGTGTCATCGTGTGGAAATCCTCACACTATATAGTATTGGTGAAGTTATCGCTAATATTATTTGTTGAGATTTACAAAATCTACATTTCGTCCAATTTCGCAAACCAATCGATGAAACTTGAATAAACTGATTTATTTGGAAAAAATACTTTGACAAAAAACCTACTTCGCGGTTTAATAATTTCTTTAATTTAATTTTCGTAGGACTTCATGGTAAACAATATTTAAAAAAAAATATTCTTAGGATTTCTTACACTTGAGCATACGACATACAACTGGCCATGTGTAGATATTTCTTTCTGGAGCCAAATTCCAACTTTTTGAAGCATTTATATAGTTTTTGCAAACTCTGCGCGAACAGGAAACTGGATTCTTGTATATAAAAATTTAAAGAGAAGATATTCAAAAAAACAAAAACAAAAAACAAAACAATATTGCATTTTTATTAAATAAGCATTTGTTATTTTAATCATTAAAATGTTTTTAAAATAGTGGGAATATTTTTTATGATAAATAATAAAACTAGTAAAACCAACTGTACTTTGTACCCCCTTACCTGTTTTCACTTCTCCCCCCGAATTTAGTCTTGATCGGTTAATGTATGGCTATTTTGGAGAGTGTGACGGGCGGATCAACGGAAGTCACAGAATTTTATATACAGATAGATATTCCATGGTAATTGTGCTCTTCGATGGGGTTACCTAGACTTTATGAATTTAAGCGCAGTAATAGACTGACGACGAAGTTTCATCAATTTAGAGTTGTGTCGGATAGACGTCACCGTAAGTTCTATGCTAACAGTTTCTTTTCTCGCACTTCTCGTGAAGAAGTGGAAATCCTTTCCGGCTGCATGCTTTCTCGTCAACTTTAATCTTCAAAAATTTAAATTCAATGCCAACCGCTATGTGCTGTCTTCTTTTGTTCTCGTTCCTTAGTAATGTTTCTGTCTTCTAATTCTTCCACATCCAGTAACCTCTTGTGTCTTAGCAGCTTTACTGCCTTGCTTGGGGTGAACTCGATTAAAAAAAACCCAAAAAAACAAACATAAAACATAATTTTAGCACGAAGATGCGGAAATATGTTGAAAGTTGCTGTTGTAAAAGAGAACAGTTGTGTAAATAATCTGAAGCAAGCAGCTTTTTGAACAACCCTTAACGAAAAAGTTGTTGATAAATTTAAAATAAGACATCAAACTCCAAATATCTGTTTTCACTAGATAATCATCTGAAGTCATCAAGTAACATCATAATAGATAACTGAAAAGCTGCAAATATCCAAGGGAAAATGTTTTAATCATGGCGTCAAGGATAATCCATATATACTAAATTTTCTTTAATAACAATATCTTGAATTTACAGAGAATAATGATTATAAATGGATTCCTTTATTTCTCAACTATTAAGACACGGTTATTATTTAATTACAGCATTTTTTTCTCGCGATCAAAAGAAGAAAGAATAAAGCAAGAATTCTGAGACATTTTTCTTTTAAATTAAAATTTGATAAAATTTTTGAAATTCTTAATTGAAGCATGAATATCTTTCCTTCTTACATACCAGAAGTCTATAATATAATTGAAATAAACCTAAAATATTGTCATGCATTCTCCAGGGAATTTTAAAGTATTTAAATTTATTCACGATCTTGTAAAATTTTATTAAGATTCCCTCAGAGATGTACATTAAAATATTTCAGCGATTATTTTTTTTTTTTTTTTTTTTTTTACAAAGAATCTTTTTAATAAATAAATTCACTCATCGATGCAATGAGTGCGAAAAGGTTTATTAAATTTCAAGAATGAGTTACGTTTTTGATCAAGCTTTTTTTTTTTCACTTATTTTTCTACAACTGGGAAATATGCAAACAACGTAAGAATCTACGTTTCTATTTATGGGACAAAAATAACTGTGAACAGGTTGAAACTTCTGTCGCATTTTTCCGATGATCACTTTGCGGGTATGTTTTCAATACTTATGGTAATATAAGAATGAAATTTATACGTTCATTTTTTTACAGATTATTTAATATCAGGGTGGATACATTTTGTATCGATTTAGTCCTTTTAAAATGAATTTAGTTCAGACCATATATATATATGGAGGCACAGTGGAGTAATAAATTGCGGAATCGGGATGAGAATACGATTTCCAGTCGATTTCATTACATTCACTTACGTGCTAATACCCTTGGGAAAGGTATGAATCCATTTATTACCCCCTAGTTATGGGTAAATAGCAGGACAAACTGGATCCTATAGTTGTGGGTAGCGAACGGCCTAAAAGGACCAATCTGAATTCAAAACCTGCGGAGGCTCGTTTGGGAACCTTGTGGCATACTGTGCACCAGTTTTCTGAATTAAGCTGTATTTTCTGTATTATATATATATATATATATATATATATATATATATATATATATATATACAGAAAATACAGCTAATGGAACTAATGCTTTTAATTTAATTCCAAAATTAAATTCGGGGCTTTTAGCTTCTATTTTTGAAACATGGTTAGAACTGTGTAGCGGAAAAAACATATTTTAAATCAATTAATTTATAATATATATATATATATATATATATTTAAACGTGTCTAATTAAACATTTCAGACATGTTGTTGTTCATTTTCGATAATATCCTTTCGTAATCACATATAAGCATATAAGCTTTGTTGTTTCATGGTTAAAGAGTGCAATAAAAGTACCATAGTTATATTTATTTATTTTTATATTTCCGAGTACTTTCGATATATTCCAATATCATCTTCAGCGTTATGATGGCTATGGCGAATAATTTTTTGCTTTTGTGGTTAAACCGTTAACAATTCCGGCCATGCGCAAAGTCACAAACAGTGATTTTAAAATTTTTTCCATGTTGTAAAAAATTTTATGTAAGGGAGGTAACTTGTTTAAAAATTGAATTCTTGTTACAAGGTTATAATTTGCTTGTTTTCTAAAAACTGTTTAGTTTTAACATAGATATCTTCAAAGAACTATATACTATAAGCATTTCAGAACATTTGTACTATATTCATAATTAATTTTGTTAAGTGTTTGTTTTATTTTTTTTACTAAAGATAGCTTCAAGAATTTGTAGTTTCTGTTTATTACGTTCTTGGTGAAGTATAAAGGTATTGACGACTAATATTCTTCTAAATTTTGAATGTGGGCAGGAATGTTTTTGCAGATGTGCAATGGGTGATGAATCATTCATGTGTAGCGTGAGTCATCTTGATAACTTTATATATATATATATATATATATATATATATATATATAATATAAGTTAAAGTTCTAAGTTTTGCTGCTCTTCAGCTTAATCAAAATATTGCCCTCTGATTGTACTGAACATGCTACCGAATATTCCCTGAGTAGAATCATCAGCATAATTATATACAACGAAAACGACAATCGTTAGCATTCACTGAGCATCCGCAAACTAGGACTACACCCGATAAGAAGTGATTCTTTATCTTTAGTTGGATATGAAGGGTGGACCCAATAATATTTAATCGCAAATGTGTGTTTATTTTATACGATAATGCAACCCCCCCCAAAAAAAAACAAGAACAAAACATTATGGTAATAAATATAGGTGTCCGCCTCATCCATCTTACACTTCCGCTTTTGCTCCATCTGACTATCATTTTTTAGACAATTCAGACGTTTTTCGATGGAAAACGGTTTATTAATTGTTGGTTGGTTGGTTATTTTTGTTTATGGTTTATTAAATGCCGATATCTCTATATTTTATATACAATTTTATTATTTTTTCGAGATAATAATGGTTTTAGTGATACAAGTCTTACTAATTAACCCATGGCTAGGAGGAGAAGAGATGGATTCATACCTTTTCCCAAGAGTATTTGCGCGTAAGTGAATATAACTAACCCCTACTGTAATTAGAACTCGGCTCTCCAATTAACAATTCCGAGTCATTATTCATTACATTATTAGCACATCCAATCTTACATCACCTAGTACTCCTAAGCGGCCACTCTTCTAGGTACTGAATAGGTTCAATGCTGCTTAACTTCGGTGATCGTACGGGATCAGTCAGAGTAAATTGCAATAAAAGTAATTAAAAATAATGATGAAAATAAATACTAGTCAAAAATAATTTTGATAATAATGGATGAAAATATTCTTCTGTACGTCGTATCCGTCCAGGGCGTGAGCGATCATGGCTCTCCACATTTTCCAATCCTTCGTAACATTGATTCCACTAACCTAAACCCTTATCATCTCCAAAAACATTCTTACAAACTAAAAATATTTTCTGGCTTTAAATAACCCGCAAAAGTTTGATAAGCCGTAAAAAAACAATCAATCAGTGTGGAAGTTATATTCGTCAGGCCTCCTTTCCTTCATTATGTATACAATTATGGGTAACAAAAAACATGGCCGCTAAAATATAACAGGTTTATCGGTCCTCTCTCATCGGAGCAAATCTCAAGGATAAAAAATAAGCACCACTTAAAAAATATACAACCCCAATTATTATTATTATATCACCCGTACATCCAAGGTTACAGCACCTAGTATTCCTAAGCGGTTACCCCTCTAGGTACTGCCAGGGCTCGGTGTTGCTTAACTTTGGTGATTACACCGGAACCGGTGTTACAACGTGATGTGGCTGCAAGCTCCTATCAATTGCGAAGATGTTCAAACTGATATTGAATGTTTCTTTGTATCGAAGCATGAGGAATTTTCTGTCTGAGGGATCTACAATCTGCCAGAGAGATTGAATTATGTTATCGATCGCAAGAGGAAGTATCACCCTGATTAAATATACCAATTAAGACAAAAATAGCCTTTGTTTTACGTCTGTCTTCAAATGCGACACGACTTTCTTTCCAACCCAACACTAGGCTATTATCCGTCTTTTCTTTTTCATAGTAGGTGGCTTCTGATGAGTTTAGATGCAGTTTAAATCGATTTAACGTCACGTGATAATACCTACTATATCGGTATATAGATGCAGGTGTTGACGCGTGTGTATTAGAATGTAAGGAATATAATAAGACATTCTCCCCCCCGACATGAATTAAGAGTCAACTAACCAAGAGAGATTCAAAATTGAAAGCTAGCATTCTGCAGTTCATTTCATAGTTTAATTAGGAAAAACGTGTAAGGAGTGGATTTAGGATTCTCTTAAGCTTTCACTTGACAAACGAACACAATGTTACATCAGCAGCAGCAGCAGTCTTTTAACCGGCAATGCTAACCTTTCAGGTTTTCACCGCATTTCGACAGATGGTTAAGAAAAAATAAAAATAAAAAAAATAACAAATTATTATATCCTTTTTTTTTTTTTTTTTTTACATGTAAAACGTAATTACTTTTCGAACACTAATATTTAAATAAATTAGACTTGCCGTATATACTCGCGTATCATGCGACTTTTGAAAACTTAATTTTGTAGCTAATTTTAAGGGGTTTGCATCATACATGAGATATAAAATTACTGCTGGCTCTGGCTACGCCGTTGATCAAACTATACTTAATATAGTAAAAAAGTACAGCTACATTTAAAATAGATATGATTTTGATAAAATATTTAACTGTATGCACTAATGCATGTATCGTGAGTATCGTTTTATAAAATACAAACATAGCGAATATACTCTAGCGGACATTGGGTTTACGTATTGTTAAATTAGGAACACGTGTGTAACTCCTGATAGAAGATTATAAAGTCCACTACAAGAATATGACAGACACAAGTTGAGTCCAACCAAAGATATGTATAAAAACAACAACAACAAAAAAAAAACTAGACCGATATATCTGCCTATATTTCTGAAATGAGGTATTATGTACACTATTTACATTATTCAGACTATTGTTTATCACAACATTTTGGCCGTTGTACGGTCAGGCCTTCTTCAGGTGGTTGGAATGTCTTACTTTATTTCGCTCACTGTTCTAGTCCCTCGTGCCATGTTTAATAGATGTCAGTTATCTCCTGTTAATTCCCCTCTCCACGTTCTCCAATGCCTTAACCGGGTATTGAACTCACGCTCTTCGGGTTCTGTCACTAACTGACGCCTTTATCCACTGTGCCATGTGTCCTTGAATTTCTGGGTATTATAAATATATTATAAAACTAATGTCTTCAGCAACCAATTTTACCAGTGTTCACATTGCAATTTTTGCTGTTATCATTTCATGTTTTTTACCAGAGCTCATATTGCAATTTTTGTTGTTATCGCTTTTCTCTGGCATTCCTTATTACTGGTTCCCATATTGTATTCATTTCTATGCTTGGTCGACTCAGAAGATTTTTGTAGCCTAGCATATGTGCTGATTTCAAAAGGTATTGTAGAGGACCCTGTGGGTTTGCGAGTTGTTAGGTTAGGTACACGTGCTGTTTATTCCTGTTAGAAGAAGGTCCAACTACAAGAACATGGCGGACTCAAGTTGAATCCAACCGAAGGTGAAAAAAACAAAAACAAACAAACAAGACTGATATATATATATATATATATATATATATATATATCAACAAATATATGTATTGAACAAATTTACAAGGGACAAAGACATCAACATTTGTGTTTGTGTGTGAGCGTAAAGATTTTGTATATTGGTGAAAGTTTGTACGTACGTGTATGTGTGTATAATGTTCATGGCGTCTCCCATAAATGGGAAGACGCTATCTTCTGCGAGAGCTTACATTGTAGATGTGTTCGCTGAAATGAAGAGATGAAAAAGAGAACTAGGCAAGAAGTCGCCCATTATTTATAGTGTAGGGAGAGTGTCGCCTTGTGAAAAATTAGGAAATGAAGAAGGAGCGAATTCAGACAGTATACCGCACATTTGCTTTCATTTATTTCTGATAAAACAATTACTTTCCAAACAACCTAATATTTAAAAAGGTATATAACGCACATTTGCCTTCATTTCTTTCTGATAAAACAATTACTTTCCAAACACCCTAATATTTAAAAAGGTATATAGCGCACATTTGCCTTCATTTCTTTCTGATAAAACCATTACTTTCCAAACACCCTAATATTTAAAAAGGTATATAACGCACATTTGCCTTCATTTCTTTCTGATAAAACAATTACTTTCCAAACACCCTAATATTTAAAAAGGTATATAACGCACATTTGCCTTCCTTTCTTTCTGATAAAACAATTACTTTCCAAACACTCTAATATTTAAAAAGGTATATAACGCACATTTGCCTTCATTTCTTTCTGATAAAACAATTACTTTCCAAACACCCTAATATTTAAAAAGGTATATAACGCACATTTGCCTTCATTTCTTTCTGATAAAACAATTACTTTCCAAACACCCTAATATTTAAAAAGGTATATAGCACATTTGCCTTCATTTCTTTCTGATAAAACCATTACTTTCAAAACACCCTAATATTTAAAAAAGGTATATAACGCACATTTGCCTTCATTTCTTTCTGATAAAACAATTACTTTCCAAACACCCTAATATTTAAAAAGGTATATAACGCACATTTGCCTTCCTTTCTTTCTGATAAAACAATTACTTTCCAAACACTCTAATATTTAAAAAGGTATATAACGCACATTTGCCTTCATTTCTTTCTGATAAAACAATTACTTTCCAAACACCCTAATATTTAAAAAGGTATATAACGCACATTTGCCTTCATTTCTTTCTGATACAACAATTACTTTCCAAACACCCTAATATTTAAAAAGGTATATAGCGCACATTTGCCTTCATTTCTTTCTGATAAAACAATTACTTTCCAAACACCCTAATATTTAAAAAAGTATATAGCGCACATTTGCCTTCATTTCTTTCTAATAAAACAATTACTTTCCAAACACCCTAATATTTAAAAAGTATATAGCGCACATTTGCCTTCCTTTCTTTCAGATAAAACAATTGCTTTCCAAACACCCTAATATTTTGATAATTTTACCTTTTTTTATCCTTTCTTGTAAAAGTGTTTATTTTCTAGATGCCTAACTACTTAGAATGGTTTAACGCACGTTTGTTTTTACACTGTTCTGGTAAAACGTCATCAATTTCCGAACACACAAATATTAAAAAAAAAAAAAATGACCTTGCATTTGGTTTTATATCCTTTTCTGGTAAAATATTACTGTCTTAACAGCCTAATATTATAAAAATATTAACGTGCATTTGCTTTTATAGCCTTTCATGTAAAACGTCATTGCTCTCCGGACAGACAATTCTAGATATTCACTTACTGAGCTTTAACTATTTTTATCTACATTTTTTACTTGTTTCTTCAACGTACTTTCTGTAAAATTATTTCGTTTTTCCTCTTATTTGCCTACGTATTTATCTATGATTATAGATTCATTTCAGATTTTCTTGTTTGATGACGTGATAAATTCTTTTATTGCTCGCGAATATACTGAATTAACTTCTCGGTCAACTTAGGTTAAATACAAACTTTTACGGTCAACAGAAGCGATCTTCCATAATTTTCATGAATAGACGTAGTTTTTTCTTCTGCGTTCATGGCTTGTACATTTTTCTTTCGCCTTCTTTTATTTCAGGATTCCTTTTTTAGCCATCTTCCTTGCTTTCTTCATTGTTTTCTTCTGCATTTCCTTTTTCTTTGCCTTCTTTTCATCCTCCTCCTTTGCTTTCTTATCTTTGCCGTGTTTGCCTCTGTTTTCTTCTTAGCCTCTCGCTTTTCTCTGCTTTTTGTTTTGCTTTCTTTTCATCCATCTTTTCTTAGGCACGTATTTGAGTTCTTTTCCGCCGTCTTTCGTTTGCCTTTCTTATCCATTTTCTTCTATGCTTTTCTGTTGTCTTTACCGTCAACGACTTAACCTTCATTATCTTCTCTGTCTTCTTTGCCTTCTTTGTTTCGTTCTTTATCGTCTTTACTTTCTTTTTCTACTGCTTTATCTTCTTCTTTATCTTCTTAACCGTCTACTTTATCTTCCTCTTTCTCATCTCCATTACTTTTTATTTCTGTGCTTTCCCTTTCTCCTAAGAAAATTAGTTTCTCTTTTTTCTCCTTTTTTATTATTGTTTCTTTTTTTTTTTTACAGGTTTGTCTTCACCTCCTCCACCACCAATACCACCTTCTTCTTCCTCTTCTTTCTTATTCTAACTCTCCTTCTACCTCTTCTTCTTCTTCTCTTTATTCTTCACCTTCTTCTTCTTCACCTTCTTTTTCCTCTGCTTCTTCTTCTTCTTCTTCGTTTACTTTCTTATTCTAACTCTCCTTCTACCTATTCTTCTCTTTGTTCTTCACTTTCTTCTTCTTCACCTTCTTTTTCTTCTTCTTCTTCTCTTTGTTCTTCACCTTCTTTCTTTCTTTCTTTCTTTCTTTCTTTCTTTCTTTCTTCTTCTTCTAATTCTCCTTCTACCTCTTCTTCTCTTTGTTCTTCACCTTCTTCTTCTTCTTCAAAGTGTCTTTATATTCACCGTTTTCCATTTTTCTTTTTATTCTCTTTCTTCTGATTTCTACCTTATTTCGATTTCTTTTTCTCTGTCGCAAAGGATTTATTTGCACAAGTTTTGATTTGACAAATCAATTTGTAATGTCATCATCCCCGCAGACACATCCCTCAAGTGTTCCTTCTATTTTCTTTAACCTTTCCTTATTTTTTCTTCACGTGTTATTTATTAACGCTTGATAACTCTGGGCCAATTTGTGTGCTTAATATAACCAGCAAAAAGATCTCCGACTACAGAATCTTAGCTTCGGCCATATTTGAACTGCTTCTGGCTTTATTTGAACTCAGCTTGTTTGAATAATTCATATTTGATTTCAAGACTTTGTCATTCACTTGCATGAATGAAGAATTAATTGTGCGCGAAAATCATTCAGCGTAATTTTTTGCTAATTTTCTATCTGCGTTACTTTTTTTTGAAAAAAGAAAAAAAAAAAGCTTATTGATTTTAGATAGAGAATATTTCAAAAGGTGATGGGGAACTGATTCCCTGTGGAAAATAGTGACACCAGCGCTTCGATTTTGAAACACACACAGCTGTCATTGTTTGAGAACGTTATGAAAAACAACAAAAACTAGGCTTAGAATTGACAGATAATGGTACTTCCAAAGCAATTCTTTTTGTCACAACAGTCCTCGTAGCGAATCCTTGTAGAAACATAGCCAAGTAAAAGACAATATACACACTATCAGGTATAAAAATTCTCAACGAAAGAAAAGGGATTCTTTCTTTTACAATATTTTCAAAGGACGAAACGCGTTGCATAGACATTTTTACCATTTTGGCATTAAGTTAAACAACATTATTCTGATATATAGAAATTTTATATCATATCCTCCCATAACGCAGAACAATACAATCTGAAAAGAATTCATCAGCGGAACAGGGATCATATAGGATACGTTGGCAGGATATATTGTGGGGTATTAACATTCATTCTGTTGTGGACGAGAGAGGATTTTGTTGTTTGTTCTTCCCGTGTGAGTTCGATATCCTCGTCGTGAAAGTTATTGTGGATTCCTGGTTAAAATCCGGTACCAATAAATAACAAACGCCAGGAATGAATATATGAAAATAATGTATTAACGTAATAATACAAACTGGTAAAGCAGGTTAGTAGTTCCAGGAATACGGATTAGTAGCAAAATATATCTATACAGTCTTTGGTATTGAAGTATCGCTGTATGACTTCTTACTGAGTCTACGTGCTCGCTCACTGTGACTCCTACAACGCTGTTACCTCACCCCTCACTCTTCCGGTTACCTACAACCTTTTACTCTGTCTCTTTGGACTCGACTCAACTCTTCGGTCTTGCTCTCGTCTTGCAGTAGTATATGTATATACTGGGTGAGTTCATTTGTATAAAAAGGGGTGGACCCCTCAACACATTCTTAGAACACATTTTTAATCATTTCACTCCAAACAAGGCAACAAAGCCCCCCAAAATGCAGGGGTTTACTGAATGCGAAAGAATATAAGAAATAAAAAAAATATTAAGGAGAGAGAACAATACAAGAACAGAAGTTAAGAAGACATAAGATAACGATTGACATTACATTTAAATTTTTGAACATCAAACTTGACTGGAAAGCAGATAGCCGGAAGATAGTTCTATAAACGAAAAGAAACTGTTAGCATAGAACTTACGGTTACATCTAGCTATTGCAACTGTAAAATGATGAGATCTTGACGCTAATCGACTACTGCGCTTAAATTCATACCAAAGAGAAAAAGTCATTAAAGCAATTACCATAAAGTATTTATAGAAAAAGTACAGGTGCAAGGAAGTGACATTACAGCAGTAGGAAAGTAACTAAAGCCGGGTGACAGGTCAGGACCAATAACATTGCAAATTCTTCTTTGGGTTTTATCAAGAACCTCTAAATGTAGACCAGGAGCACCAGACCATATATGGCAGCAATATTCAAGGGTAGATTTATAAATTTGTAAGATAGAAAAATTATCTAGCACGATACAGTGAACCAACTTTCCTAGCAGCAGACCTAGCAATTGATTCAATATAATCTTCCTGCATCATGTCAGTAAAAAAACGTTAGTCCAAAAAGCCGCAACGAAGCACCCTCCTGGAGGTTATCATCAGCCATGCAGGAAGGTTTCTCTCAGACGATAAATGGAAGTTGCGTTTATTATTAAATAAATTTAAAAAAAAAAAACGTACTCGGAGCCAATCCTTCTTCCGAAGGTACAGATCCATTTTGCCGACTTCCCTTACCTACATTGATGCCATCGACGAGAGGCTGTACACCTTGGAGACCTGCTGCGGATGGTGGGTACGGACCGACTCGAGAGCTGCGAAAACCGGACGCGGATTTTCCAGGGCCGCCGAAAGCGCACCGGACGCCGCCCGAGCCGCGGCGCTCTACAGGTACCTTTTCCGTATCTCCAGACGAGCCGATTCCACGGACACGGTCCTTTACGAAGAAGAGAGAACTCTTCCCGGGGCTCTCGGCGACGTCTCCGGGCTCGCTTGCGTCACCGCGGTTTCGCCCGAGAAGCGACGAGACGCCACCGACATCGCTGCCAGCAGCGCCGCCAAAAAAACGTATTAATCTTAGTTACAGAGTTATTTAATATTTTCTTTTATTACTGACCTACTCTGGAAGATATTGATGCAACATGGCTTTTGCACAGATTATCGTTGTATTTTTGTGTCCACATTGTCAAATTATCTGCTGTAGGGATTTTTATGGTTGCAATCTTTCTTTTCATAATATTCCGCATATTCACTATTTGATTGCTTTATAGTTTGATCCTAAAATAATTTTATTACACGTATAGCACTATGGTATGTTAGAACCTAGCCAGTGCGAAAACCAGAACGTCTTATGAAGAAAATAGTGTCTACCATCTTTCTCATGAGATATGTGGGTGAATAGGTTGTTTTTGTAATGCACGTCGGCGGTCAGTAAAATAATGTGGGTGGGATTCAATTACATCATAGCAGCAGAAATTAGACTCATGTTCACGGAGATAAAAGCATACTTGACAGGAAATAAAACGTACAGAAATAACAGGAAAAGCATGGTAAATTGTATGTTAATTTCATAAAAATTTATTTATATTTTTTTTGTGTGTATTTTTTAGGTTACAATTGTTTCATGGTACATATAATGAGAGGAAGAATTTACTTCGTATTATTACAAGCCATATCACAGAGAGAGAAGTTACATACGTGTTGCTTGTCTGAGGGTTCTTGGCGAAGAGGTTGAATTTAACGTCTTTTGACGGGATTTCCGTATTTCCGGCAGGAACAGATTTTGTTGCATGCTGGGAGTATTTTCATTACTTTTAATTTTATTTAATTTATTTTATACAATGCTTTTATGCTATTGTTTTATTTTATTTAAAATTTTTATTATTATTATTTTGTATTTTATTTTTATTTATTTATTTATAATAATAATGTTCCTACAGATAGTCGTTAGGGTGAGCTGAGCGGTGTTAGTTATGTAAATGATTCATTTACTAGACAAACGCTAAAGTTTTAGGCTCCATGATAGTAGACCCATTTTTTTTCTGAAGAGACAGTTTGGTAATATAACGGGATCTCAGTGTGATTTAAAAATTCCTGGTCGTGTTACCATGATCCCGTGTTTGGCTCCTTTAGTGTTTGATTCAAGTGCTACTGATTTTTTCGTACCTCTTCGTTGGTATATAGCTAACCAATAAGAAGTTAGTTACCTAGCTTGCCATAATAAATAAGCACTAACGTTTTTCGCTTTTTATTTTATCATTTCAACCCTAGTAAAGTGATAATGCCACTAGGACGCAAATTGATATTTAGCTACACCCCCCAACGAGGATTACATGTGGCACAAGGCCGGGTTTAACGTGGGATCTCCGATCCCGTAGGCTCGGCCAAAAATATTCCCTCTTTGAACTCGCATAAACGGGTTCAGGGGCAGTCAACCTCTCCCCCCGAACGAGACTGCCCTTCGGCGGAGCCTCGTCGGGGTTCCTCTCCGTCCGAAGGCAGAGAGTTAGACTGTTAGCCAAGTTAGCCAAAGTGGATACAGAGAGTGAAAGAGAATGAGAAGACTTAAGTGAGGAAAAGGAAAATAAATAAATAGGATTTAGGAATACATAAGATGCCGATTGACATTGCATTTAAAGTTTTGATGATTGTAGGTGATAGGAAAGCAAGATAATAGAAGGGAGTTCCACAGGCGAGAAGTGTGAGAAAAGAAATTATTAGAATAGAACTGACGCTTGCATGTAGCTAGTTCAACAGTAAGACGGTGAGACCTAGTTGCCAACGCTTAAATTCACTAAGGAGAAAAGCTACGTGTCTATTTTCTTGCTGCACGCCATATTGGGAACGCAGTAACAATGGACATGGCTGATTTGCATGCATCAGGAAATCACTTGCCTATTGCAAATCAATTCATTCAATAAAACCGCCGGCATCGAGTGAGCAGTGTTTGAAATTTTAGTTCGGTACCATGAGGTTACGCCAGTGAGCGACGCGAAAGAGTGAAACTTCTAATCGACTGAACACCGTTGAAAAGCCGCAAAAATTCAAATGGATTACCCAATCAAGACCATAATATCGGATCGAGACACCGCAAAAAACAACAAAGAAATATAAGGCTGCTAATGAGATCGTTCCAGCAAACCGGGGAAGAAAATTGAAAGAATTCTTTAAAAATGGAGCATTGCTTCTCAATCCTCTCTTTTCAGCCTTGGCGGGGTTCCGAATCGTTTACGCGGCCTTGTAGGCGGTGGATTATTTTCAAAAGTACAACCCCTTTCCTACAGACGAAACGTTGGTAGCCTATTTTTAATCTATTGTTATTTTCATGGAAAATGTTCTGACGAGTTACATTCCTTCGTTCTATGCCATCCAATGAAACAATCTCACTGATTCCCCACCTACGCTTCTGCCACCTTCAATATGTCACGTAAGTGTTAAATTCTCTAAGCCCTCTTCCCGTATGTGTCGCAGAAATTTCAACTCTCTGATTGTAATTATAGGTTTTCTTTTAATTTTTATTTTCTTTAAAAAAATATGCGTTGCTCGTATGTTTAGTACATTGTAGTCTCAGCATCCTTCTGTAGAACTGCATTTCTGTTTGTCCAGCCTTCACTGCCAAATTAGATATTAAATAACAGTTCTGCGCTCTTTTTTTTGATTCTAATGAAATATTCTTGTCTTTTAACACCTTAATTAGTTACTGGAAGGCAATGTTTGATTTACCTACACGTCTTCGGATTTCTGTGTCACATTTTACGTCGTCTGTTACTACACTACTCAGATCAGGACCGGATTTAGATGAAGAGAGGCCCTAACTTTGTGGGGCCCCCTCCAAATCCCCCATTCTCACGAGTAGAGGAAAATAGACGAGTGTTAAACAATTTGTGTAAAGACGGGAACGATGACGGGTGTTTAAAATTTCACAGTTAACAACTCTAAAGAACATAAGATGTTATTCTTAAATACAGTATACCATTGATAAAAGGTTAAAATGAAAAGAATCTATAAAGAAATCAATGCTAACATCGATTTATCAGCTTAAGACAGAATTATTCTGAAATGGAATCTAAGGAAAATTACTAAAGAATTACCACAATACGTTATGACAGCATGTGTAGGAAAGACTTATGACAGTGTCAAAAATGTCTGGAGGCCTCCTAAATTTTGAGGCCGTAGCCTTCAACCTGCTAAGTCTATAGGTAAATCCGGCACTCACTCAAATAGCTATATTTCTGTTCTTGCTTGATTTTAATGTCTCCAGTAAGTAATTCACATCTTAGGTTGTCTCTTGCAGATAATTCTTCATTCAGTCGTGTTCCAGTCAATAGTCTTTTATCATGCTTGTCTCGTTAATGTGTCTCCCTGACCCTGATCTGCCATCCATTTATACAAGTTCGTTTGGACACTTATTCGCCGTTTCCCTCTTGCTTTCAATATCCCCTTAACCCATTTCGTAAGAAGAAAACCCCACCCAAATAGCATCTTTTCGAGAGCACCTTTACCACTTTATCTAAGAGCCCTAGAAGTTTTCCTTCCGAGTTTGCCATCAACATAGTGTCATACTTTTTTGAGGATTATCCCATTTAAATAGATACTTGTATTTCCCCTTTGAACTTGTTCTCTATCCGCGTATCATTCCCGGTGTTGTCGGGAGAGCTTCATTCCCTTCACATTTTGCTGGAACTGAGTCTAGAAACAAGAGTAGATGTTATCCGTTCGCCCCAGTCTATGACAATGCTATTGAACTGAGCTGTATCCTTTGTCTAAAAACAGCGGAACACGAACACTCAGTCTTCGTAGATTGAATAAAGGGTTCACTTCAAAATTTTCTGAATGTTACTCAGATCGATCGACACTTAATATAAGTACTGAAGGCGCAAGAGCCGAAACATTGTAATAATAACAAAAAAAAAAAAAATAGATATTACTCCGGTTATTAATTCATAATTTCCTATCCTTCGCAACAATGTTACCACTAGCGGTCACCCATCCAGATACTGAGAAGGCTCGATGTTGCTTAACTTCGGCGATCGTACGGGAATCGGTGTTTCAACGTGATATGGCCAAAGCCACGCTGTTGAAATAGGACTAGCAATAAATCGCAACCCTAAAAAACGCAACATCCCTAGACATTTGAGGATGGAAAACCACCTACCCCCGTAATTGACCAGTTGGGGTCACAGTCATTGTTAACCACTCTCTTCCTACGGACGGGAGGAACCCGAAGGAGGCTCCGCCAAAGGGGAGGTAGACCGGCCCTGAACCCGTTTATACGGGTTTATACGGGTTCAATGGGCATATTTTTGGCCGAGCTCACGGGCTCGGAATGCCCACGTTAAAAAGGCCTTGTGCCACATGACACCCCCGTGGGTGGGGGGTGACTGAATATCGTCATTGTTAACCACACGATCTTTTCGTTAGCTGCATAGTAATATTTCTTTTTCTCGATTTCTCAAAGGCTACAGTTACAAATCGTCCTTCTATTTACTCATCGCCTGGAGAAGAGGAAATAGATTCATACCTTTCCTTGAATTCAAACTCGGCTCTTCGATTTCTTAGTTGGAGCCGCTATCCATTACACCACCGCGCATCCACATCCTAAAATTATTTCTGGTATTAATATTCAAAATAAGTCTGAAAATCTCATGTTTATTTTTTAAAATTAGCTTCTAAAACTTCAACATGTTATAAACGAGGTCTGATCCAAAAGTATCGGGACTGTTGCTATGGTGATGGAGTTAAAGTGCGCCGTATGAAGCAGCTTGGTATAGTCTAACCTTGAACTCAGTCGCGCATGCTCACTAAGATATAACGTTCTCGCTCACTTTTATTGTTTATAGTGGTGTTGGAAGGAAAGTCTCTCACCACACCACAGATTCTCCATTATTAAGCATAACTTGTGCAGCAGTTTTTGGCTAAATACATCGTCCCCAAGCCCCGACAATCATTATATTGCGACTTTTCCCTCTTTCCAAAAATCATTTTTAAGGCGTCGAGAAGATCCAACAGAATGCGACGAGGAGTCCCAGGAATGCTTCTATCGATGGAAATGATTCTAGATAAAATGTGTGGCTTCAGAAGGGGGACTATTTCGAAGGAGATTAAATGCCAAATTTATATGAATTGTAGTTTTCTTTTTATAGTACCAGTCTTTTTATCAGACCTCATAAGCAGGATGAATTTTATAGGTCTCATTCAATAAAATGAGTACAAAAGAAGATAGAAAAATAATTGTGTATTTAAAATCAAAATCAAAATGTTTACATTAGGATAATCGATGTAAAAAAAAATGATATCGAATCACGAATCATTACATCTTATCATGTAACTTAGCGACCCGCTCCAATTTTAACATCTGATGTAGCCATCCTGACATTTTATTTCATGGTACCACGCTTGTATACAAGCTGTTTGTTTCCAGCAAAGTTTTCGGATTATTCTAATCTTTTTAGTCCTACTGATTAACCCATTGCTGGGGGGGGAGGGAAACAGAATTCGGATTCATAGCTTTCTTAAGAGTATTTTCGTGTAAGTGAATACAACGAACCCAACTGCAATTAGAGCTCGGAGAGTCGAGTTCCAATTCTGAACCGTTATCCATTACACCCCTGCAAGTTATAGCACCTAGATGAGGGAGAGAGCTTACCCAAGAGGTTACCTATCTAGGTACTGACCAGTGGAACCTGTGTTTCCAAAGGAACAAAAAAAAGTTCTGCAACCCATGAAAATTCACTAGTAAGTCTAAGGCCTTCCACCAATGGGAGATATTCTCAGACACTCTTCCTAGTGCTCCGATTACAATCGACACTGTCTATATATTTCGGCAATTCTATCGAATCTTGCATTGGTACTTTATGCCTGTATTGTGTCTTGATGTCTGCATAGTTCTCAATTGTTTGTCATTATCTCTCGACTTCTCTGGTTTTCTTTTAACTTCTTCTGTGTGCCATGTCCCTTCAGGACGTTGGCGATCATGAGTCTCCACAGCTTCCTGTCCCTTGTAGCTCGTAATAAACTTTGTCTTTCTCTTATTTCTCCTAAACCCTATTCCGCCATCCATTTACTCAAGCTCACCAAGTAGGCCATGTGCTGTTTACCTCTATCTCTCTTGCTTTCAATCTGTCCCGTGAGTATCAGATTTTCCAAGCCCTCTTTCCTCATTATGTTCCCTGTTTCTTCTTGATCTCAAGTATAACTTACTTTTTTGTTTCCATTTTTTCTAAGACTTCTACATTACTCACAGTTTCAGTTCATAGTATCCTCAACATCCTTCTGTGGAACCATTCTTCTGTTACTTCAAGTCTCTTCTTCATCTTCATTGCTATACAGGAGAATAGATATCGCGTAACAGTTTAGTAATTTTTTTCTTCTTTTTAGCGAAGTTTTTCGATTTCTTAGTACCTTGCTTAGCTTTTGGAAAGAGATTAATTAAACGGTCCAGTTTGATCGGAAATTGATTTTGTCTAAATACAGATAAGTATTTTATGTGTATAGATTATAGCTCTCCACAGCTTCCTGCCCTTGGAGCTCGTAATAAACTTTGTCTTTCTCTTATTTCTCTTAAACCCTATTCCGCCATCCAAAGCTCACTAAGTAGACCATGTGCTGTTTACCTCTATCTCTTTTGATTTCACTCTGTCCCGTGAGTATCAGATTTTCCAAGCTCTAATATGGCCGTAAGCCTGACGGTCAGAGTAAATTGCGATAAAAAGTAATTAAAAATAACGATTAAAATAGATACCGGTCAAAAGTAATTTTGATAATAATGAATGACAATATTCTTCTTCTGTCTGCCGTATACCTTCAGGAAGTGAGAGATCCTGACTCTCCACAATTTCCTATCATTCGTAACAATGTTACCACTAGCAGTCACCCATCCAGGTACTGACCAGGCTCGATGTTGCTTAACTTCGATGATCGTAGAGGAACCGTTGTTTCAACGTGATATGGCCAAATCCAGGCAGTTGAAATAGGACTAGCAATAAATCGCCCCCCCCCCAAAAAAAAAACGCATCAAGACGAGATATCCCTAGACGTAATCAGCGGATAGAAAACGACTTACCCCTGTAAATTAAATGGGTTCACTTAGAAATTCTCTGAAGGAATTTGTAAGACACCTGAAGAAGGCCGGTGTGTACAACGGCTGAAACGTTGTGATAATAACAACAAAGAGGGTGACATTAGTCCTAATGTAAATAAGTATAACCCCTCGTCCTGGAAAGTATATGTAGAGTTGCTAGAGAATTCGATACTCACAAGGTGCCAGAATCAGTAAATCTTTGTTAATATATCTACGTTTTAAATAATTCAGTTGATTATGGCCTCAATGAAGCTAATTTTACACGGTTACTCGACTTACGACCGCATCACATTGAAACACTGGTTCCCATCCGATCATCGAAGTTAAGGAACGTCGAACGTAGTCAGCACCTAGATGGTTGACCATTTGGGAATACCAGGTGCTGTAAGCATAGATGTACTGGTGGTGTAATCGGACAGCTGAGTTCCAATTCCTATTGGGTCCGTTTTATTCTTTTATGCGCAAATCCCCTTGGAAAAGGTACTAATCCACCTCTTCTCCCTCCAGCTATGGGGTAATTAATGAGACTCGTATCACTAAAATTTTATCATCTCAAAAAACAAAAATTCTTAGTCTAAAATATTTTCTGGCTTTCAATAACCTGCAATCGGTTGATAAACCGTAGAAAACGGATCAATCAATTATTAAGACAAGGCCACGCAACAAGATTCGCTTTGGTTAAGATCGTGTCCCTGAACGATTTTGAACACAAGTAACAAAAGAAGTTTTTTTTTGTTTTAAATAAATATGACAAATGACAATTTTTTTTAGAGTTTTATTTTCGTTGTTGTTAATATCTTTCTTTTCATTCTCTTCTGTAGCAGTTGGTGAGGTCTTGCAGTTCCGCTAAATTCGCAGCAAGAATCACGAAGCAGTCGGTGTGTGAGATCCAAACAGCCGGAATCATCAAGTTATTTCCTGAACCGCCTCGACAAGAATTCAAACTACCTAGCTTAATGCTACAACCAGCGGTTTATCTACCGGAACATATGTTTGTGAGTAATAAAAATAAATGTATTCTCTTTTCCTCAGCAACTCAAACGCCAGAAGATCCTTTTGTTTAGATTTATCATCGATTAAGGGATTAGAGATTAAGTTACCTGCCGCCGTCACGTAGATTCTCTGTGACTTTTTTATAAATACTTTTGTAGTGGACCGTGGCAGTGATGTTGTTGAGTAGAAGTAGAAAAAACACATGTGGGCTCAGATTTTTCTTGCTCGCCGGCCCAACTACATGAAAAGGTTGGACTTGAATTAAGTCCAAAGAAGAAGGCAAAGAATACAAACAAAACACAAGACCGATAATATATGTATATACAAATATATATTAATAACAAGTTACACGAAAACAGTTACAAAGGACAAAGTGTGTGTGTGAATACTCTGTATGTGCGCGTGTGTGTGTGTGTGTATTGTGCTTAGCGTGTTCCCAGCACTTTGAGAAACGCTATCCCTTGTTAGCGCCTACATTTCGAGGTTGTAAGCTGAAAGCCTGAGGAAAAAGAGAGATTTACCTCCAGGTGTCGACGCGAAGGCCTGAGAGAGAAAGAGAAAGAGGCGAAGAGAGACCCCTAGTGAAAGGGTTAACGAACTAAAGGAGGAGTTAACTCCGACACTTTCATGGTTTAATTTTACTGATTAGTTTTCCTCTTTGGTATGTAGACTTTATGCGGTCCTAGATAGGCAGCATGGTCTCATTATTTTACAGTTGAAATCGCTAGATGCTAAGTTCTATGCTAACAGTTTCTTCTCTCGCACCTCTCGCTTGTGCAACTCTCTTCCGGCCGCTTGTCTTCTAGTCAACTTTGATCTTCAAAAATATAAATGCATTGTCAATCGCTATCTTCTGTTTTCTTAATTCCTATTTTTTTATTGTTCTCTCTCCTTACTAATACTACGCTTTTTCTTTTATTCTTTGATATTTGGTAACCTCTTTGCGTCTTAGTGGCTTTATTACCATGCTAAGGGTAAGATGATAAAAATAAATAAATAAACAATAATAGTAAAGTGAGAGTGTTGTGATGTGGCTTCTGGCAAGACACAACACTTAAGTTGATTGATTCAGTCATAATAATAGTATTCAACACTCAGCTAGACAAGTCTAGATTTATAGTATATAAAATGCAATTGTGGCACAAGGCTGAAAATGGGGGTGGGAGGATTGGGCTGAGGCTGGTTATCACTTGCGATCTTATACCTAGCTAGCCTTGTCCACTGTTTTCGCGGGAAAACAGCATATCGCGTAATGAAAAATGCCACAAACTTAACTAAAATAAAGTTTTATCGTCAAAATGCTTATGTTATTATTAAGATGAAAGACCAAAGTATCTTTTAATTATTTTTTGAATTTTTTTAATATTTTCTAACACGTTCGAAATTTTTGGTTAAAGTCTTTTTTTGTTTACGTCATCGCGGCGTCATAGAAAATAACGTATTTTTTTTTTTTTTGCGATTTGTTTCCGTTGAAAACATATTGATTTGGAAATTCTTGTAAAAATCAAGTAATTGTCCGATTTTAATGAAATTTTCAGGACTTATTCACAAATCAATGAAATTATTTTTGAAATTTTTTTTTTTAGAAAATTTTGGTAAAAAATTTTTTTTTTAAATATGTTACCCCCCACTTACTTAATTTCATGAAATTTCGCCCCAAACCTTTCTGATTCCTGAATTATTTGTTGTTAAAAGAAGGAGTCTTTGGAGATGGTAAATAACCTGTTTTCAAATTTCAGCTATCTAACTGAAAATCTGCTCTGAATATAAAAATAATGAATCCAATAAAACTATGATATTACTTAATTAGAAAAGCTTTTAATTGCTTTTGTAAATAAGTAATATTAAGGAGATTATTGTCTGAAGAAATAATTTTTTTCTGATGAATAATTAATTTTTAAAATAATTTTTTCGTTTTTTAAGAAATTTTAATTATAATAATTTATAATAGTTTAAAATCGTGTAAAGCTCTGTATTAGGAGGGTTCCTCGAGGTGATGTCGTAATTAAGTAGAAAAAAAATTTACGAGTCCAAAATTGCTAAGTTTAATAAATCTAGTTGCGCTATTTTTTTTAAAAATAATTTTTTATGCTGTATTTTTTTACTTAATACATTCCTTATTCCCATGTATGATATACTGAAATTGCCATTATTATAACAAGGTCACGTGATCTAAGAGTTTTGTCCCTTTACGTGGCCTTTTCATAACATTTCGTTTCTTAGTTGCTTTCTAACAGGTTGTATTTTCCGTTCAACTTTAAAAGTGTAAAATTTAAACTTTAAATTTTAAAGCAATTTTTCTTTTTTTCATTTACTATTTCACTAAATATTTTTATTTTATGTATTGTATTTCCATTAGTGTGGGTCATACTCAAATAGAATAATTTTTTTAAAAACACGGATTTTTAAAAATTATGTCATTTATGGTCATCCGTAGTAGCTGTCATCGATTCGTCATTCAACAATCCATCAATAGTAGGATCAGAAGAACAGGACCGCTCGTTAATAATTGGTAGTATATTATTTTTTTATGCTATAAGTAAGAAAGATTTCTTTCAAATCGGATTACTTTAATTTTAAATTTTTTCATTTTACTAAAATAACGTGTCAGAAAGTTTTTAAAATATTTTCAAAATCGATAAATTTGTGTTTGTTTACAAATTTCTTAAAATTAAGAAAATGGCCGATTTTAAGAAAATTTAAAAATTTGAAATTAAATTTAACAATCAAATGTATATATTTTCTATCTGAAATACATCAGAATTGTTTAATTAATGGAAATAATAATTTTAATGATTAAACTTTTAATTAAAGGTAAAATAAAATCTTAAATGTTTTTCGTTGTAAAAAATTCATTTTAAACTTAAATATAGAAAATTTATGCCGAAATAGTGGAGGTACCTATACCTAGCTAATCAGATTCACGACCCATTCACTCATTGCAATTTGCATATCCACCAAAAGAACTTATCCATCATCATTCAATCCTCCATATAGAACAATATCGCAATACTCTCAAGGTACTTACAAAAACACCCTATGACAATTCATTGTAATAGTATTATATTCTATTCTTTCTAGACAATTACCCAGGACTACTTATCATGAAAGGATCAGTCCATTCGTGATAGTAAAGTATGAGTGTTGTGATGTGGGGTCTGGCAAGACAACACTTAACTCGATAGATCCAGTCGTGATGATAATATGCAATACTCAGCTCGACAAGTCTACATTTATTGTATATAAAATACAATTGTGGCAGAAGGCCGCAAATGGGGAAAATGGATAAGTTCATTCATGATAGTAAGGAGGGTAAATGACTCTTCGCGCAACAGAGACTTTATTTGGTAAATGTCAAAAATTTGAAAATGACGCGTTGACGTTATTTTTTCAATGTTCTGTCATGTGAAGCTTTTTTTTAATTGAATATATCCATGGCAAAATCTTACTTTTGCTTTATTTCGCTTCCTCTTGTTGGCTTTTTCTTGTGGTTGTTATACTTTTAATGAATCATCGAGTTTGATGGATTGCAAAGGTGCACGTGTCGACTCCCTCTGATTAGAGTTTAATCTTACCTTTTGCATTTCCGTTTTCCCTTTTTCTTTTTAATGTTGTGGCGTCTTATCCAGGTATAGGAATATTCAACATTTATTTTCATAGACTATCTTAACAGAACATTTCTTCTGATATTCTCTTATTCGAATTACCATTCTATTCTGTCCCATTTTCCTGTATATAATTGCAATATTAGTGCTATCGTACACATTTGTTGAGTGAGGAGGCACGGTGGAGTAATGGATAGCGGCTTCGATTGAGCCGCGTTCGAATTCCAGTCGTATACGTGCTAATACCCTTGGGGAAGGTGTGAATCCTTTTCTTCTCCCTCCAGCTATGGGTAAATAGCAGGACAGACTGGGTTCTATAGCCTTTAATGGCAACTGTCAACTCTGAATTCAAAACCTGCGGAAGTTTGTTTGGGGACTCTGTGGCACGTAGTCTCTGTATTCGGCCCTTCAAAAAGTATGGATGGTCCTGTACGAATAATACCACTATAATCAAATTTCATGCGCTGTTGTGGGGCTGTCGGTTTCCTGGGGACTGATCTACTTGACCCTCATACGTCGTATTCGACGGGAGAGTCGAGTATATATATATATACATACATATATATATATATATATATATATATATATTAAAATGTAAAGAAAGAACAGTCAGATTTATAATTCTTTAGCATTTATTTTTTTGAACAGTGCTCGATACACAGTAGAGCATAATATTATAATTATTTTTTAAAAATATATATTCATCGCGACACAATATATATTTATTTGTAAAACGTATATATATATATATATATATATATTTTTATATATATATATATATATATATATAT